TCAGACCCCATCCATTATTCCCCCTAACGGCTATCATGTTTTCAAAATGACAATAAAGTCCTTCCGTGTAAAACTTCATAGGCCTCGAGATGTGCTGTCATCTCTGGTGATATCTACCCCACACATACCCTACACCTGCCCCGATCATACCCATATTATAATTCTCAAGTGCTACTACAATCGATCCTTCCTTATTCTAGGCATTGCTCAAGCTAGAGAGCACTTGCAATTCTACCCTGGAAAACAGTTCTTTCTATTTATCCCAGTTTCTATAACCTGTCCTTATATATTCTTAATTTCTAAAGATGAACCTGTAGGGTTCATCACTGGCAGTGGATACCTATACTCTCAAGTAGCACATGCATCTGTCGTGTTGTTTCACAGTACAAGAAATGATCTAGGAAAAGTAATGACCCACTGGGAAGGCATAAGTAAATTTACATAATGAGGATCTGATACTCTTCCCTACATATAGAATAAGGTATTTTAAGGAGTTAAGTGGGTTTGAATATTTAAACTCTGAACAACCCTTACAAATTGTTCTCCGAATTTAAAGCAATATTCCATATGCAAGTCAGAATCTTAGAGGCTTGTTTTCAATGGCTGCTTCCTGCCTGTGGAGTATAAAAAGCGCTTTAACCAATCACTTCTAAAAGCATACATAGATAGAAGAGCTTCAATGTAGATATCAGAAGAAACATAAAAGAAATATATGAAAAGATGACACTGTGATGATAAGAAATAGTAGGTTGTAAGACTTTTCAAGTAGATTATGCAGAAACTGACAGAGCTTCTGTTTATACTCCACAAATGATCCACTAAGCAGATTTCTATCTTTATGGTAAGAAAAAGTGTTGAAAATGAGGTCAGTAGGTCTGAGCACAGGTAAATTATAGCATTCTCTGCCATTTTAAAGTGATTTCAGAGACAATATATTTCTTTATCTACCACACTACACTAGCATTGATGAAACTAATTATAAACAAAGAATTATAGACCCTTCTCAACTGACCGATAAACTTTCAACTGAGCACAAGTGTCCTGATGACATCACTGACCTAGGGTTTCCTAGCTTCTGCTTTCACCTTTTAGGGGACAAGGAACCTATTCCCACATATTACACCAAAACTGTCTTCCCTTTGACTCTCAGCCAATGTTGTAATAGAAAATCAGAATGCACTCTTTGCCACAGAGTAGCTCTTTAAATGTATACAACAGTATCATCCAGCACCAAGTCATTCAGGTTTAGACAATCACTCAGTTCCCTCAACTATTTCTCAGATGAAAATGTCTCCTGGACTTTTTAACATCTTAATAAATGACTCAACATTTAACAAACTTCTATTATTCAATATTCTTTGAAGTGGGATTCAGAGGGGCACCTGGGTGGCACAGTCAGTCGAGCATCTGACTCTTGGTTTTGGCTCAGATCATGATCTCAGGGTCGTGAGGTCGAGCCCCATGTCAGGCTCCACGCTCAGCATGGAGACTGCTTGAGATTCTCTTTTTCCCTCTGCCCCTCCCGCTTGTGTAATCTCTCACTCTCTCTCTCTCTGAAATACATAAACCTTAAAAAAAAAAAAAGAAGTGAGACTCAGAAATAGACAAAAGAAGCCATGTGGGGTCTGACCAGAGAACAAGGAGCTAGGAATTATTCAGCTGATCTGGAATCCTACACATACGAATTTAGTCAAAGATTGCATTAGTTTTATTTTAGTAACAGTGAGATACTAGAAAATATATATACTGGTCTCTATCCTTGGTTCTTGACACAGAGTTCCCAAATCCCTTGGAATTTCCTGGGTAATAGGAATATTTTTTGTTCTAATGAGGCGACTCTGGGTGGGCTTCTGGATAGAGGCTGGTCACTAGAAAAATCACCCCATAATTAGAAGCTTGGAATTTTCAGCCCTTCCCCCACTGTCCACTCTGGAATTCTCCAGAGAGCAGAGAGGGACTAGAAATGGAGTTAATAACTGATCATCCCTATGTGAGGAAGCCTCCACAAGAATCCCAAAAGTACGGGGTTTGGAGAGCTTCCAGGTTAACAAACATATCCATATACCAGGAGGGTAGTGTATCCCAACTGTACAGGACAGAAGCTCCTGTGTTCAGGACCCTACCAGACCTTGCCCTGCATATCTCTTCCTCTGACTATTCATCTGTATCCTTTATCATATCCTTTAATAAACTAGTAAACCCAATCCCTGAGTTCTCTGAGCTGTGCTAGGGAATTCACTAAACCTGATGAGGGGCTTGTGGGAATTTGTAGCCTTCTCAGACAGAAGTTGTAGGTAACCTGAGGACCCACTACTTGCAAATAGTGTCTGAAGTGGGGGGCAGACTTGAGGGACTGAGACCTTAACATGTGGGATCTGACACTATCTCCAAGTAAGTAGTTTCGGAATTGAGTTAAGTTGTAGGACACCCACTTGGTGGCAACAAACTGCTTGGTGTCAGAAACCTCACATATCTGGTGTCACGAGTATTGTGCAGTTGTGTGAGTAAAGGAGAAACTCAGGAGGGGGTCTGGAGGTTTCTCCAAATCAGTAACCTAGGTATAACTTGTTTTGTGAGTTTCTCTCCAAATAAAACACTTGGATCATTTTCATCTGACATTCTGTGAAATGGCATTTTTAAAACTTTCAACCTATTTTTTTCTATGAATGCTTTCTTAGTAGTTTAGAATTTTCGACTCCTTCCTTTCTGATTGTAATGGATATCTCCAGATCTTCACACACTTCACTTATCTCTACCGTTTGAGACAATCTTGGCTGTAAAATGGAGTAGCCAATGAATTGATTGAACTGGGAAATGGGCTTGTGCTCCAAAGCCCCCCTCTTTTTAAGCTGAAAACAAACAAAGAGATGATATTTTTATCAAGTGGTGAGACTAAATGATGCTGGAACCATCATCGCAGTGTGCCCTGTATGAATAAAACTAGTCTGTGAAAAGAACTCTGTGATGAAAAGCAAGACCCACTTTGGCCATGTTCAAAATACTGCTTCCAACTGTCCCTGAAGGTTAGCTGTACCCTTAGGTTCTCCATGGGTACATGAGCTAATAAATTCATTAAAAAGAAAAAGAAAAAGTCACTTTGCCAAAAAAAACAAGTTCTAACTTAAATATAGATCTTTCTGTGTAAAGTTTTACTTATTCCTCCTGCTCAACTTCTGTCTTATATTAGCTTTCCACTGCTGCTGTAACATAAACATGGTGCCTTAAACAATACAAATTTATTATCTGACAGTTCTGTAAGTCAGAAATCCTACATAAGTCTCATTGGCTAAAATGAAGGTGCTGACAGAGCTGATGAGGGAACAGAAGGCTGGCTGAATCTTTCTTGGTTGTCAGCTCAGGACCTCACTCCACCGAACCTCACCTGTATCCCAAAACCACATCAGAGCTGTGTTCCTTTCTGGAGGCTTTAGGGGAGAATGTTTTCTTAACTTTTCTAGCATCTAGAGACATCTGCATCCCTTGACTCAATTCTCCCTTCCTTCATCTTCAAAGGCAGCAACACTGTCTCTCTGTGACCATTCCCGAGTCACATCTCTCTCTGACCCTGACCTCAACTGGGAAAGGTTCTTTTAAGGACCTGTGATTAAGTGGGACCTATCTGGTTAATCCAGAATAATCTCCTCATCTCAAAGTCCTTAATTTTAAGCACATGTACAAAGTCTCTTTTGCCATCTAATGTAACATATTCACAGGTTCTGGAAGTTTAGGCACGAACATCTTGGGAGGGCATGGGGGGTTATTATTCTGCCTACCACTAAAAATGAGACCATCATTCCATCTCTCACATCATTCCATTCAGCAATAAAAATATATTAAACAGGAGAAGCCAGACACTCTCGACATTAATAGCAGCCTGTTAATCAACATTATTTGGGAACAATTGTTTAATTTAACATGACTCTTTCAAGATCGTTTTTTTCTGGAAAGGAAATTTCTGCTGCTTTTATCTTTTTTGTGAAGATGCGTTTGAAGATTGTTACTGGATTTATCCAGCACACACTCAGAATGCAATCTTTGAAATGTAGCATTAAAAGTATTTTCAAACGCACGTACTTGAAGCCCAAGGCTGCTATCATTCCTGAGTATAGAGAGTAAACACAACATCTCTCTTTGTTTTACTAATTGCTTTGTTTCCCCCAGCTGCTAGCACAACATCTGCCAGGCCAGAATGCACTCCCACACACCACAGAACCACTGCCGGCCAGATAAGCGACCTACAATCCATGGTGTCAGGGCAACTGCTTTCCAGGTACTCAGCAGGCAGTTTTCAAGAGGCAAAGACTTCAAGGAGAAATGAAGCCGAAACCCCTCCCCTCCCAAAACCTTTCCAATGGTTATGGAGTTGTTGATTCTGTTATGATCTCACACTGTCTGCAATTTTATTGATTTTGTTTTTCAATAGAACTGTTAAAGATTACAATCCTCAGATAGGCAGAATGTGGGCAGATGCTCATATGCTCACACACAGTTCTGCCAAGATATTTTTACATCTTTCTGCACATAAAACAAAATTAAGACATGTGTTATAGATGCATGCTACTGGTAAACCACCCCCGAAGAAGGGAGCTTATTGTATGCTCATTTCCTGGATGAAGTATTAAAACAACTCTACCTAGAAAAAAGAACAGCACTTCCAAAATAAAAGAGATTTGCTTCTGAGGCACCTCATGAAACATTCCTAATTACCAAAACCCATTGAGACAGCAATTTGGGTCATCATATCCAAATGTCATCCCTGCTATTTCTAATTCAATACAAACTTCTTGTCACATCTACTGGTTAAGCATCAAAATACAAAACGCTGCAACAGCTTATGCTCTGTTGATGTTCATTCATCTACTGTGCATCAGAAAGGCTCATTTCAAATATGGCATGAAAGAAAGAAAAGTAAGCAAAAAAAAACAAACTCGGAAGAGACTTGAAATAAATTGCCTCAAGGAAAATGCTAAAAAGGAAAAACTACAAAATCATAGCCTTACCTTGGGAGACTTAGGCAGACCCACAGCCCTGTCCTCTGCTAAGGTGAGCAGGGTTAACTTTGTTTCCTCCACTGAGGGATGTTTGGGAGGGCGAGGTGGGGGGTGGGAGAAAGAGCCTTCATATCTTCGCATCATGTAATACTGTTCTTCGGTGATCTCTTCAACCAGAGTCCTGACTAGAACTGATCCTGTGTCCCTAGAAAAACTATTAACTAACTGAACAGTCATATTTAAGCGACTGACAGGAATTTCCCAGCACTCCCTGGGGTTGGCAAAGTCACTTATAAGTAGATAGGAGTCTGTGATAGCTTCCTCCAACCGCAGTCCTGGTGTAGCAGCCAAAATGTCTTCTTCAATGGAAAGATCTCTCACAGATACCTTCACGTTGAAGGGAAAGCGGAACTGCGCACAGAGCTCAGAAATCTGGTACTGTTTCTTATCATGAATCACCTCTACGAAACCTCCTTCCATGTACAAAGGGAGCAGTGTTGTCTCATAGCAATTTTTGAGGATTTTTTCACAGGCTAGAACATTCACCACTTTTTTGATTCCCTCACAAAGGACTTGAGTCGTCTGTGAGTGATGCACTAGAAACTGGTCCCCAACAGATACGGATGACAGCTCGTCATGAGGGGGTTGAAAGGCTTTGGTGGCCACCACGTGGAGATGCTCCTTTTCACTCTTTGCTATCTCAAGGTCATAGGCAGTTGGGAACTCCCGGGGTCGCCGCTTGAATTTGCCTTTATAGCTAGTGGGGATCAAGAAGTGCCTTTTAGGAAAATTGCTTCGAATTTCTGAAGCTAAGATCCTCGATGCCTGGTACTTTTTGTGGACCACAATGGTCTTCCCAGGCTGTAAAATGCTTCTGGGAAGCTCGTTTCCTTGAGGTGCCTCTATGACTTCGGCCACTATGGGGAACTCCTTACTGGTCATTTCAAAGAGATCTTGTGTAGATAATAGCTGAAGAAACCAGTTGGCATCGTAACTGTCAGTAATGTCTTTGACTTCAATATCTAAACTGGGGAGGATGCGGACTATATCCTTTCGGACTGAAAGAAAAAAAAAAAAGACTATGATATTTTGTCCATCACAATGTTGCTTTGATAAAGTATTAGAATCTCTCCTGGTGCCATAGATAAATTCCACTTAAAAAAATCAGATGTCGGGAGCCTGGGTGGCTCAGTTGGTTAAGCAACTGCCTTCGGCTCAGGTCATGATCCTGGAGTCCCAGGATTGAGTCCCGCATCAGGCTCCCTGCTCAACAGGGAGTCTGCTTCTCCCTCTGACCCTCCACCCTCTCATGTGCTCTCTCTCTCTCTCTCAAATAAATAAAATCTTTAAAAAAAAAAATCAGATGTCCATGATATAACATTTCTTATGTGTGACTTTCTTTTTTTCACATTTTAAAATGAAGTAGATCATATGTAAAATCAACACCCATAAACTCACTGCTCAGCTTAAAAAAGAGATATTAACCTGTCCCTCGGAGCCCTATGAAGCTTATCAAAATTTCACCTTCCTCACTACAACCTAGGGATAACCATTCTCCTGATTCTAGAGTTAATCATTCTCCTGTTTTTTTAAATAGCTTTATCACACATAACATAGATAAATATATGTGCATGTTTATAAATGTGTATGTGTGTATATATCTTTTTCAGAAGGTTTATAATATCTGAATTCATGCTCTTGAGCTCTAGCCATAATATATGAAATTATCTTAGAAGAAAGTTTCAATACTTCAAGTAAGACCCTTCCTGCATAAGGCCCAAGACATACATTCTTTACACAAAATTCTATCCTTCTACAGAACAACACTGCAAGATCATGGGATATAAGGTACTTAAGATTAATATATGGAAGTGAACAACAAGATGCAATCCTTTTTCAGTGTGAAAGTTATTCTTTCTCTGCTGATGTTCCATTAACCTGGATAGAAAAGGAGCATCACAGGATGGGTCCCAGTCAGAGGAGCCATTCAGGAGCCTTAGGTATGCTGGTGGGGTGCTTACCAATGTATTCTTTGCCTAATGTGGCACTGGGGACTAATAAATCTCAAATTCTTTCTGAGCACCCTCTATCCTAGAAGTCTTTGAGACTACAGAGACACTGAAAATATTGTCCTAAAATTATTTATCTGCTGTACATGCACTATCCCACATAGATTGTTATAATGGTCTTGAATTAGAAATAAAGTTACTATTAACAGGGTTGTATAAAGGTTTATATTTTCTCAACAATTTCCTACCATGTAATGTTTTATAGCATTTTCACAATCCACTGTTGTTTCCCAATATCTCCAGCCACCCTTCTGTCAATACACTTTCTTCCTTGCATGCTTTTGAAAACAAGTAATTTGGAAGATTTTGAAAACAGAATTTCCTCTTTAAAAGCATTACCTTGTTATTACTTTTTATATTATTAACTTTATGCAGCATCTGGAAACTGTAACTTTATAATTTGTGTCATATTACTTGCACATGTTGTGTAACAGAGTTCCTGAAGACATAACGTGAAAAAGCATGATTTTAGGGGTGCCTGGGTGGCTCAGCTGGTTAAGTGTCTGCCTTCGGCTCAGGTCATGATCTCCAGGTCTTGGGATCGAGCCCCACGTTGGGCTCCCTGCTTAGCGGGGAGCCTGCTTCTCCCTCTCCCTCTGCCTATCCCCCTGCTTGTGTGAGCTCTCTCTCTCTCTCTCTCAAATGAATAAATAAAACCTTAAAAAAAAAGAAATAAAAAGTATTATTTTATATTCTTAAACAGAGAACAGAAAAAAAAAATCAATGGCTGTCTAGAGGATGAAGATCTGTAAAAATTCTTCATTTAAAAAAATAAAAAAGGGGCGTCTGGGTGGCTCAGTCGTTAAGCGTCTGCCTTCGGCTCAGGTCATGGTCTCAGGGTCCTGGGATCGAGCCCCGCATCGGGCTCCCTGCTTGGCGGGAAGCCTGCTTCTCCCTCTCCCACTCCCCCTGCTTGTGTTCCTGTTCTATCTCTCTCTCTGTCAAATAAATAAAATCTTTAAAAAATAAAAAATAAATAAATAAATAAATAAAAAGAAGACTAAAAGCACACTCCTTCATCAATTCATTGTATAAAGTTTAGCATACCTAAATTTTTTTTAGAAGATTTTATTTATTTATTTATTTATTTATTTGACAGAGAGAGAGAGAAAGCACAAGCAGGGGGAGTGGCAGGCAGAGGGAGAGGGAGAAGCAGGCTCCCTGCTGAGCAGAGAGCCCGGTGCAGGACTCTATCCTAGGACCCTGGGATCATGACCTGAGCTGAAGGCAGATGCTTAACTGACTGAGCCACCCACATGCCTCACATGCCCAAACTTTTAAGATTGTTGCCACAGGCTTCCCTGCATCCCAAGGTAATTTTAAAAACTCTAAAATCTCAACAAGTTGGATAGAAATGAATGAGGTTTAAGAATTGTAGAACTAGCGCTAGGTAAGCATCATAGGCTCATGCCATTTCTCAAGTTGAGGCAACAGTTAAACACTGGTAGATGGATGTCATTAAGGACTTTCTGGGAGCTCTATATTGATCCATCAGAACATAGGGACCCTAATGTAACCTAGATCCCAATCTATATTTGGGCACTACAGGTATTGTGGGTACAACAGTCATTGATTATTTTGTTGACCAACATAGCCCAATGTCTTGAATATTGCCTGCCACACAATAGGTACTAAATAAATGAATTGAATAAAGGAAAAACTACTGCCAGAACGATGTCCTTGATTGAGCACTAAAGGATGTGATCTATAAATAAGTAGAGTTCCACATAAAATTTCATTGAGAAAAATAAATTTCTACTGCTAATGCTCCTGCTATACATCATAGAAGGTATTATATATATCATTTAAAACATGCCCCTTTCGGTTGTAGTTTATCTTACTCAATGGCTTATTCAGTGCAATAAGTATTTTTACTTTCACTGTTTAATTTCTATGAAACAACAATCTAGACATTTTAAGGTATAAAAATAATCACAGTGAACACACCTCAGTAGAAGATCCAATAAGGAAAAATAGTACATGTGGTGAAAATCAACAACTCTTCTTTGATCCATCAGGGAATTGAGGTTACAGGGCAAACCATCACCCCCAAAATGAGAGAAATAGGTGAACATAGACTTACAGCTTATTGGGAGCAGAAACCACCACTGGATTCAACAACTAGTAAGAACACTTTAAGAGTAATTGACTACTTGCTGGAGACAAAGCCTAGATAAGCTTGAGAGAGAAAACTTCTGGGGTCCAAGTTTAGCGGGATCCTCCCACACTTTCTTGTTTATTCCCAAGAGCCCCACCAAGTTCTCAGGGTGAAGATCAGAGAAAAATCCCCTCATGCTTCTGGCAGGGTCATGGCAAAAGTCAGAGAATTCAGTTTTCCTTAAAAAAGGTCTGCCCTCAAGGAAAACTATTTTACCACAGCCTAACCAATCTGGGTTTTACCAGAGTTTAACTGACATAGGGGAAGGGAAACACCCAACTATAACCTCCTCTATCTTTCCACATGGGGAAAAGGAAATACCCAACTCCAGCCCCCACTTGCCAATATTCTACCTCACCTAAGGAGGCATGGGGAAGAAAGCTGAGAAGCACTTGTGAAGGTCACAGGGCAACTAAAAGACTCAGACCTAAATAGAGGATTATAGAATGCATCTCCTCCCTTACACCTTACTAACCATATCAATAAGACTTCTGTATAATAATGGGGGATTACAACTGAAACATTTATATTTCTGTTTAAGAAGAGGTCTCTAGAAAAGACAACAGGGGAGACAAAAAACAAGGACACTGAATAAAATTTTAGCCTCTGACATCTACAGATACAGAAAACTGTAAACATGGACTAACTCACAGCTAGATAAAAAACCTCACATTAAAGGCTTATTTATTTGCCTCAGTTTCTTTTATCTGATACATCATGTCTAGCTTTTGACAAAAAATTACAAAGTATATTAAAAGGCAAACAAACAGTGTAGCCTGAAGAGACAAAGCCAAACTCAGATATGCAGAGATTTTGGAATTTTCAGACTGGGAATTTAGAATATGATTAATATGCTAAGAGCTCTAATGGAAGAAAATGACAGAAAAGATGGGTAATGTAAGCAGAGAGATGGAAACTTTTGTAAAGAATTAAAAGGAGGGACGCCTGGGTGGCTCAGTCGGTTAAGCGCCTGCCTTCAGCTCAGGTCATGATTCCAGGGTCCTGGGATCGAGTCCAGCATCGGGCTCCCTGCTCCGCGGGGAGCCTGCTTCTCCCTCTGCCTCTGCCTCTCTCTCTCTATCTCTCATGAATAAATAAATAAAAAATCTTAGAAGAATTAAAAGGAAATGTTAGGTGTTAAAAACATAACAGATATGAAGAATGACTTTGATTGGTTCATCACTAGACTGGACATGGCTAAGGAAAGAATCAGTGAGCTTGAAGATATACCAAGATATATCAATAGAAACTTCCCTTAACTGAAAAGCAAAAGAAAAAGAATGAAAAAAAAAAAATGGGACAGAATATCTAAGCACTGTGGGCTAACTACAAAAGGTGTAACATGTACACCACAGGGATGCCAAAAGGAAAACAAGAGAGAAAGAAACAGAAACAATATTTGAAGTAATAGTGGTGAAGAATTTTCCAAAACTGAGGAAGCTTAGAGAACAGCAAGCATGATAAATACCAAAAAACCTTCACCTAGGCATATCATATTCAAACTGTAGAAAATCAAAGAAAAGGAGAAAACCTGAAGAAGTCAGAAGAAAAAAAATCTTATCTCTAGAGGAAGAAGGATAAAAATTAGATTGTACTTCTCTTCAGAAACCATTGAAGCAAGAAGAGAGTAGGCGGCATACTTAAAGTGTTAAAAAGAAACCCACCAACCTAGTATTCTGCCTCCAGCAAAATTATCCTTCAAAAGTCAAGGGTGGCAGAAAATGCCACCCCAAAATAAATCACTTTGGCATCAAGATTATTTTGAGCTAAAGGCACTTGAAAAACAGCAGGTGCAAGAAGAGTATTCTAATGTTTCCTTTTCTTCCTGAAA